ACGTTGGGAAAAATGACAGCAAGCATTCGAGATGCTTTCATTTCTTTTTGATGAAAGACGTGTTGCAATCAGAGGCAAACGGAAGAGTAGTGCACAGAAAGGGTTTTGCAAAAACCTATTCTACTAACATCGTGGAAGGCACGGGACATTCGTAGAACCCAAGGCTATTCGTGGCCGGTTCGTGGACTGGTGGGCCAGTAGGAGAACTGACTGCAACGAAATCCCAGAAACCTTCGCAGAACTTCGTGGAAGGTATTTTTGATGCACTAACTTGGTATAAGCGATTTTTGCTGACCCCCTTTCTCCACACACCCTCCATTGTTGCTTCCTGTAAATGCCCTTTTCTGGACAATGGCGGGAGTTCCCGGTCCGGTGGGTGGCTTTGCCACACACTGGACCGGGGAAGCTGGCAGGGCCCCCCGTCCAAAACCAAAAACGGAAGTTCCCGGCAGTGAGTTAGGAGCAAACCCTTGTCGTGGCTGCGAAAGCATTTCCTCACGCTGTTCATCACTATAGTTTACACTATTCGACACTATTCGACACTATTCAACACTATTCGACACTATTTGACACTATTCGACACTAAATTACACTATTGAACACTATTTGACATATTTTTACACTATCGAGCACTTTCGTGCACGCTCGGCACGATTTCTCTGTCGAGTTGCGTTGTATTGATGCCTGGTTTCCTTGTGCGGGGGCGGGTTTGTCAGGGCAGTCGTGGAGCTTTTCACGCATGGAAGTACTGTGCAGTTCCCGAAACACACACACATATCTATATATATAGATATTTACCAGGCTACCGCCTGCAGCCGCCGACCCCAAGGGAAAATGTAGTGGCAGGGTTCGTCACTGCAACAAGGGTCCTTTGGGGTAGGGGAGGTAAGGTCTAGGTCTAAGGCTAAGGACTAGGTCTAAGGCTAAGGATAAGGCTAAGGCTTAAGTCTAAGGCTAAGGCTAAGGCTTAAGGCTAAGGCTTAAGGCTAAGGCTAACATCGACAGTCACGCCTCACCCCACGGTGTGGGGTCGGCGGATTTTTACACATGTATATAGATATATAAAGATGGATGGATAGATACATAGATAGATAGATACATACATAGAATTTATATATCTATACGTCTATATTATAATATATATTTTTTGCGATTTA